GTGATGCTCAGCAAGAACTATACCCTGGGTGCAAGAAGTTTTCAAAACTTGCATTTATTATACGATTGTTTCATTTGAAATGCATGGGTAAATGGTCCAACAAAACATTTACGATGCTACTTGAGTTGTTAAAAGAGGCTTTTCCTGACGTGACTAAGTCTTTGCCGAAGTCTTTTATTATAAAATAGTCCGTTTAGTAAATTTGTTATTTCATGTCTTACTAGTAGTTTTCGAGATATTCACAAAAATACCTTTCAAAACTCTGATTTCTTTTCGAACCAAAAGTAAAATAGATAGTTTGATAGTGTTGCACTCGAAAGAAAATCCTCCTCTCGAAACTTGTTATCAAATGAAATATTTAGTCGAATAAAATACTCCTAAGAAAGTTTTCGAAAATCACAAAGGTTTTGAATATCCTAAGGAAGAGATTTTTAATAATTTTATTTTAGTCCCATTCCAAAGTCTTAAAAATTAAAAAGAGATCATTTTGCTTCCGCTATATAAACGAGTATTCCGATAAATCGGTTCGACTTATCGCCCGATAAGAAGATGGGTGCTACATACGATCTCCACGATCCGTACATCTGACTTGAGCGTCGGAGGGGTTTCCGCCGGATCAACCCCGGCTTAGTGTTAGAGTAGGTGACCAACAAGCCAACATGTGGCTGTGGTCTTTCCATTTATTCTTGTAATAAATAAACCTTTTTTGTATTAATGATAAAAACACCTTGGCATTCTATATATTTGTCCCTTTGTCACAAACATAGATATAATGATAAAGACTTCTTGCCTACTCACGGGAGATAATAACACATCCCTCTTAGAAGCTCACACCATCTCCTTCACAATCAAAGTTGCTTGGCTAAACTTCGGTATTTGAAAGCTCTCCCCTTCGGTTGTTTTTCCTTTCTTCGGTGATAAGGTAAGAAAATTTGATTTCTTGCTGCAATTAAAGGGTGTCAATAGTATCTAAATGGTTTTCAAAATTTCTTATAAGATTTGGAGAGATTTCGAGAAAATTAGGGCTTTTCCAGGAAAAATGGAAAAGATATGTTGAGTGTTGATTTCTTGTTCTTGCATGCATCATTTGTGTCGGTAGTGGGTAGATATAAGTTTTATTGGCCGAAAGCATTGTAAATTTCGGATTTCAAAAAGGGGTTGCAAGAAAAATGAATTTTTGAACTTTTATGGCGTTGCATGTGTAGATCTAAAGATTTTTGGGTCAAATCCGTAACTTTTAAGAAGTCAGTCCTAAATGTGTTTTCAAATATTTTTTTCAGCATTTATTGAACAAAAATTTCGGATTTAAAGAGGTTGTGCAATAAAGATTGATTTTTGAACTTCTATAGGTCTTGCATGTGTAGATCTAGAGATTTTGGGCTAAAATATGTAATTTTCGAAATTTCTGCCTATAGTAACTTTTTAACTTTGTCTTCTGCATTTATTGAATTAACATCTCAGATTGTTAGGGTTGTTTCATGAAAAAGTGGATGTTGAACTTTTCGTGTGGTTGCTTGCATGTGTAAATCTTGAAACTTTGGGGTCAAAACTGTAATTTCTGAAAAATCTGTCATTTCTAAATTTTGAAATCTATTTTCCTGCAAGTATTAAATGGGGAAAAAATTTTCTTTTCAAATGTATCAAAGTAATTAAGGTTATATTAGAGTTTTGGATTTTTAAAAGAAAAGGGATTTTTCTAGTTTTTAATTCCAAGAAAATTCGAAACATTATGAAACTTTAAAATAATTTCAGAACTAAAACTTAGATCAGTTAGGAGCTATAGGATTTAATTTGGGAGTTTTTGGGATTGGTCTGCTATTATTTCGAAACTAGAACATTATGCATGTCATTTATTATGTTTTGTGCTTTAATTTCCATGTCTTTGAATTAATAATCATGAGTGATGAAATTTGGGATTGTGTACCTTAATTTGCTGCATGGGTGTGTTTAATTACTTATGGAATGAAATTATTTCCTTGAAGTTGTAATAAGTTCATTAAATGAAGGATGAAAATGGGTGCTTGCTTTACAGGCATGGTTTGAATATTGAATGGGTGTGTGTGTTGAATACTTGTGTGTGTGTATGCTGAATGTGTATGTGTGTGTGTGCGCCGTGTGTGGTTGTGTGTGTTTATGTGTGTGAATTTGGGGATTTTGCCCAAATTATAAATATTTGTGTGGTTTTGTGGCACTTGATTGATATTTGTGATGTTTATGTGTGTGTTATATAATTATTGTGAGCATGATTTTAAAAAAGATGCATTTCACCTCCAAGTTTCAATTTTAAACACTTTTGGTCCCCGCCGTTACATATCTGTTGGCAAGTAACGGAAAATACTATTTTGGGGTGAAAATTGAAATTTTAAAATCTTTTGGGGCTGAAAATAATTATAAATTTAAAATAGACTACTTATAAATTTTAATAATAAAAAAAAATAAAGAAACAAATTATTTTTTAATATACTTAATATTATTATATTTATACTACTTATTATCAATTTTTTAAACATAAAAAAATTAACTAAACAAATCATTTTAATCATACTTAATATTATTTTTAATTATACTACTTATGATAAAACAATTAATAACAAAAAAATAAATTAACTAAACAATTATTGTTAATTATACTTAATATTATTATAATTGTAGTACTTATAATAAAATAAAATAATAAAAAAAAGGAAATTAGTTGAACAAGTCATGTATAATTATACTTAATATTATTATAATTATACTACTTGTAATTAATTTTTTAATAATAAAAAAAATAACTAAATAAATTATTGTGCATTATACTTAATATTAGTTTTCATTATACTACTTGTGATTATTTTTTAATACTAAAAAGAAATTAATTAAATAAATTTCATTATACTTAATATTATTAAAAGTTTAATTATAAGTAGTCTATTTTAAATTTCTAATTATTTTTCAGCCCCCAAAAAAATAAAAAAATTAATTTTCGCCCCAAAATAGTGTTTTCCGTTACTTGCTAACGGACATGTAACGGCGGGGACCAAAAGTGTTCAAAATTGAAACTTGGAGGTGAACTTTGTTCACTTTGAAACAAGGGGGACCAAAAGTGAAACCGGACCAAACATGAGGGACCAAAAGTGTAATTATCCCTAACTTTTTAACTTTGTCTTCTGCGTTTATTGAATTAACATCTCAGATTGTTAGGGGTTTTTCATGAAAAAGTGGATTTTGATCTTTTAGTGTGGTTGCATGTGTAAATCTTGAAACTTTGAGGTCAAAACTGTAATTTCTAAAACATCTGTCATTTCTAAATTTTGGAATCTGTTTACCAGCAAGTATTAAATGGGGAAAAAGTTTCCTTTTCAACGGTATCAAATAATTAAGGTTATATTAGAGTTTTGGATTTTCAAAAGAAAAAGGGATTTTTCTAGTTTTTAATTCCAAGAAAATTCGAAACTTTATGAAAATTTAAATAATTTCAGAACTAAAACTTGGATCAGTTAGGAGCTATATGATTTAATTTGGGAACTTTTGGAATTGGTTTGCTATTATTTCGAAATTAGAACATTATGGATGTCATTTATTATGTTTTGTGCTTTAATTTCCATTTCTTTGAATTAATAATTATGAGTGATGAAATTTGGGATTGTGTACCTTAATTTGCTGCTGGATGTGTTTAATTACTGCTGGAATGAAATTATTGCCTCGAAGTGGTAATAAGTTCATTAAATGATGGATTAAAAGGGGTGCTTGCTTTACAAGCATGATTTGAATATTGAATGGTGGTGTGTCAATGTGTTGGCCGCATGGGTGTGTGCTGAATACGTGTGTCTGTGTGTGTAGGCTGAACGTGTATGTGTGTGTCTGCCGTGTGTGGTTGTGTGTGTTTATGTTTGTGAATTTGGGGATTTTGCCCAAATTATAAATATGTGGTAATTTGTGATATTTGTGTGGTTTTGTGGCACTTGATTGATATTTGTGATGTTATGTGTGTGTTATATAATTATTGTGAGCATGATTTTAAAAAAGATGCATTTATAAAACGTATTTTCAAAGTTCGATATTTAATCGGATTTCTTACTAAGCTTTATAGCTCATATAGATGTCTTTTATTGCAGGTAGTAGTGTTGTTAGTAACCCTCCACCGGAATGGATCGAGTAGCGGATCGAGGTCTTGCCCGGGATTTTGGAAGTTGTACGAGTGCCTATGAACGATGCTAAACATTTTTGTTTCTTTTGGTGATGTAATATTAAACCTACGTATTTCCCTTTTTCGTATCTTTTGAACTTAAATCCGGTATGGATCGTACCTAACTTTTATTATCAAATAGTCCGTTTAGTAATTTTGCTATTTTCACGTCTCAACTAGTAGATTTTGAAGTACTCACCAAAATACCTTGCAAAACTCTGATTTCCTTTCGAACCAGAAAGATAAGATAGTTTTATAGTGTAGCACTCGAACAAAAATCCTTCTCTCGAAACTTGTTTTCAAACGAAACATTTATTCTACTAAAACACTCCTGGGATAGTTTTCGAAAATCACAAAAGTTGGTTTTAATTGTTCTAAAGAAGAGATTTTTAATAATTTCATTTCGGTCCCTCTCCAAAGTTTTAAAAATTACAAAGAGATCTTTTACTTCCGCTAGACTAATAAATATCCCATAAACCGGTTCGATTTATCGCCCGATTAGAAGGAGGGTGCTACAATTTAGATGTCTTCTAATAAAATAATACTTTAAATTGAATATATATATATATATATATATATATATATATATATATATATATATATATATATATATATTAATTTTGGTTGAGTGTAACAAATATAAAATAAATAATTAGATTTTGCAATGTAATTTCCAAAAATATTCTACAAGAAGCTAAATTAGCATAAAAACAGGAAAAGAAAATAGTTTCAGAAATTAAAATAAAAAACAATAAACAACAACTATTAAAATAAAATTAAGACAAGAGTTTCAAATAAAAAAAGAGTCTACAAATAACTAAAATAACAATAAACTACAGCTAATAAACTAATTAACGCAATAGTTTCAAAAATTAAAATAAAAGTCTACATCTTGATCACCTTCTTCTTCTTCTTCTTCTTCTCCTTCTCCTCCTCCTCCTCCTTCTTCTTCTTCTCCTCCTCCTCCTTCTTCTTCTTCTCATACTCATCATCATCCTCATACTCAGACTCATCATCATCCTCATACTCAGACTCATCATCATCCTCATACTCCTCCTCCTCCTCTGTCATCTGCTCCTCCTCCTCCTGTGTCGTCTCCTCATCCGCCGGCTTTGGGTCGGACCCTGTCGGAATCGGAGCCGAGGAAGCCGAAAGGGTGCGGCTCCTAGAAAGGCTCCCGCTGCTGCTACCTATAAAGCAAATAAAAATAAAGAATTTATATATATAATATTGTTTTTACTTTTTTTTTGGAAAAGCATTAATACCAGAAATGACGTTTTGGGCAAAGCTCGTAACCCAAAAAAGAATTAAATGAAATAAAAATAAATAACTTATTTATATTTATTTTTTACTTTTTCTTTTTTGGAAAATTAATTAATACCAAAAAGGGGTTTTTGGCAAAACTCGAAATCTGAAAAAGTTGTAAAATAAAATAAAAATAAAGAACTTATTTATATCAATTTCTTTTACTTTTTTTTGAAAATAATTAATACAAAAAAAAGAGGATATTTGGCAAAGCTCGAAACCCGAAAAAAATAAAACTAAAAATAAAGATATCATTAATTAATTAATTCATTAGCTTTTAACTTTTTTTTTTTGGAAAAAAATAATACCAAAAAGAGGTCATTATATTATAAAATAATTTACCAACTGATCTAAAGGCTTTTGTCAAAGATCGAATTCCTAAATGCTTCGACATAGTGAAAAGAGAGAGAGAGAGAATAGTAAATAGTAAAAATGTAGTTTAATAAAATTGAAAATTCACACAAGTATGGAGTTTCACTTGTCATGCATAAATAGAAGTTTAAGTGTGTAACCCGCAAAAATAATATTGTTCTCAAGTTTTATTAGAATGAGAGAATCGGAGCGTTAAATTTATGTCATTAAAAATGATAACAATAATGTTATAATATATTCTAAAGTCTTATCAAATATTCAAAAAACTATACATTTCTTAACCCAGTTTTGAAAGGGAAATATGCAATTTCCCCCTCAAATGGAAAATATTATGAGTAAAATCCAATTGACTTTTAAGACTTTTGCACAAACTCACATCCCAAACTTAATTAGTGAAACCCCCTCAATTAAACATAATAAGACATAAATACCCTTATTAACAGTTTATTATAATAAATCAAATATTTAATCACCATATCTTCCCATAACCGTTTCCCTTTATTATAGGCGGACGTGATTTTCCTTCATATACAGACGTGAGTTCAACCGAGATTAAGTGAGAATAGAGATTTCGTCGCCGTTCAACCCTTCTGTGTTCGTTGCCGAAGTTAAACTGTGTTTGAAGGTCAGATGTTCTGCTTTAATTTTGTTGGTTTCATAAATGGGGCTGAGTTGTAGTGTGTGTATTCAGATATGTGTGTATGTAGAACCGAATTTTCATTGTTTCTTTTTGGGTCTTCTTAATTGGTGTAAAGGATCGTTACTAATTGAAAATTTTATTCCGTTTTACACAGAGTCGGAATTGTTTTTTTCTTAATGAGCAGAGATTGTTCGTATTCGTATGCTCTGAACAATTTCTAATGATCTCAGATTGTAATTATTTCGTCTGGTGCTAAATTAAAAATAAGTTGACAATATTATAAGAAGATTTGTGGGGCATTAATTAATTAATTAATTACTGATTAGTATTACATTAAATCTCAAATGACGAATTTGACCGTTCAATTAGCTGTTGGATGTGTTTGACAGGTGCATTTCCTACCTAGCCAAAGGTCAGAAATTGTTCAGAGCAAAATGTATGAGTTTGTGTCGTCGAGTTGTATCTGATTTTATTTTATCTCGATTTACAGTGTAGTCACATAATAGTCATATTCTCAGTGTTTTGTTAATAATTATGACTATTGTTGATTCACTCGATTAGTGATTTATGAATTTCTTGTTTGTTCCCCACTCTCTCTTTCATTCACCGTCGTTGTCGTCGCCTCCACCTCTTTCCCTTTCGTTATTTTCGATTTTTTTGTTTTTTTTGCTCTCCAGATCTGAAGCAGAAGCATTAACGTGACTATAGTCTGGTTCGAATATGACTATTGTTGATTCACTCGATTAGCGATTTATTAATTTTCTCGTGTTCGTTGCCTCTGTCGATTTCTCTCTCTTTACACTACCATCGTCTCCACATAAATTTGTACACCACCACCACCGTCGCCGCTCGTTGCTGCCGCCTCCTCCTTTGTTTCCACGTAAGGCTCTTTCTCTATTTTTCGTTATCTTTCTCGTTTTCTCAGTTTTTTTTTCCAGATGCCACACCACCACTACCGTCGCCGCCTCTTTCACTCTCTTTCCTTCACCACCGCCACCACCGCCGTTGTCGTCGACTCCCATCCCTCTCTCTAGTAATTTTTCTATCTTTATTTATGTATTTTTCAAATTTTTTCTCAGATCTGAACAGCAGCAGTAACATGACTATAGTCATATCCGAATATGACTATAGTCATATTTACGTATTTTTCGAATATGACTATTGTTGAATATGTTCTTCTATCTTCTCGTTTTCAAGTTGACTTCTAGTTCGTAGATTCAAATTGTGATTTTTTGTGTGGATGTGATTGGATTGTTTTCATAAACAATAGGGAATCTTCGTTGTTTTATATGATTTGGTAAACATGACTATGCCATATAATCAAAAAAAAAAAAAAAAAGAGTATGACTACAGTTAATATAGTCACATATAGTCATATTCAACTATAGTCATATTCGGCGTTGCAAACCTGTGGAGAGAAAATTGCAATTTTTTGTTTAAAAAAAATTAAAAAAATATATTTTTATTAAAAAATATTCAAAATGAAAATAAATAAAAAAGGCTAAATAAAGTCCGAAAATAATATAAAAAAAAAAAAAAAAAAAGTTCGAAAATAGTTTTTTTTTTTTTGGTTTGGTAGCAATTTTTTAGGAATTCGCAGATTTTTAGGAATTAAATTATTGTTATGGAAAGAGAGAAAAAAAAAGAATAATTGAGATAATTATACTAATTAATCCTAATTAGCGAGATTTAGGTGTCTCATTAATAGGAATATGTAAATACTAGATAATTATAAAAAAAAAAAAAACGTGATAAGTAGTAAAGGGTAAGATTGAAAACAAATATTTTAGGGGGTTTTCACAATGAAAGAATTATGGTATAGACATATCACCATTTTTAGTCTATAGGAGGGGTGTATTGCTAATGACCCCGTTTTGAAATAGTGGAATAGTTGAGGTTATTAGATGTCTTCTAATAAAATAATACTTTAAGTTTAAAATATATATATTAATTCCGGTTGAGTGTAACAAATATAAAATAAATAATTAGATTTTGCAATGTAATTTCCAAAAATATTCCACAACATTAATAAAAAATTCTAATAAACATATTCTACTATGTGTTTAGAAGGCTACAATTAATATTTCCATGTTATGTACAAGTGTGGGCTTATGATAAAATGTATTAGATATATCAGTAAATATTCTAGTAGGTGTTTGATGCTTTTTCTTTTTCTTTTTTTCGTTTTATTATTTATTCAATTAAAAAATAACAATTATTTTTTTGAATAGTTCTAAATATTTTTCTTAAATGTTTTTTTTTTTCCAATTTTTTCCGCTTTTCTTTTTCAAAATCAACTACAAAATTTCTGAAGTCAACAAATATTTTTCTTTCAATTTTTTATTTCGTTTTTATTTTCCATAATCAACTATAAAGTTATCGTAAACAACTACAAAATTGTGAACATAAGATTCATCAAATCAACTACAAATTATCTAAATCAACTATAAAATTGAGAAAATTATTCAAAAAGAAAAAAGAAAATTTGAATAAACATGGTAGAAGACGAACAAGCGGTTAAAAATTAAAATTGAAGATAAACCAAATGGCGTGAAATTGAATTGTTGATTATTCAATTTCTGCAAAGACCCGCCACCGGTGGTAGAAGCGTGGCGGCACCGCTCTACGATTTCTTGGTCAAGATTGATTAAATTGGGGTTACAATTAAGAATTGAGTGTTAAGGATTGGAGATAATTTTTTCTTATATACATTACTTTTTCATTCACACATAAATTAATTTATTTTTATAAATATAGATGTCGTGAATTATGACTGTTTACCGTAGCGTTTCTTTCTTTTATATATAAGATATTACAAGGGATGAGTTTGTTGCGAAAAAGGTATAACCCCTGAACCTAGAATAATAAAATGGTTGGTCATGGACGATATGCATAATTGGACGGATTCAATGGGCCCACGATTTATTTATCCACTGGGTCACGAGCCCAATTTAAAACACCACTACAGTGAAAGTCCCAAACATCTTTAAATGGGCTTGGGACCAACAAAGTAAATACAACTCAATCAAAGACATATAAATAAAGGTTTTTACTAATTTGTTAAGGTACGTTCCAATTTACACAACAATTCTACGATGTAACACCCCACCTTTCCAAAACTCTAGAACCCGAAATCAATCTTCTTAACTCGAGAATCCCTAGGTGATATCATTACGTGAAATTAATTATGTGAATTACGTGAGCAGATATACATGTGCTTCTACCTAACTATGTGAATTAATTTACGTAAATTAGTATTTTAGGATCATTTCTATTTCCGTAAGTTGAATTACTAATTAATAATAATATACATACATACATGTATAAATATACTACATGCATACATAATTACGTGCATGCACATACATAATCATTCTATACGTGTATATATATATACATATATATATATATATATATGGAAAATTATAGTTTATGTCCCTAAATTTTACCATTAAAATGATTTATGTCCTCAAACATTTCAATCCACAAAATATGTCCTCAAACTTGCCACTTTTGGTCACTTTATGTTCTGTCGTTAATTCGGCAGCTAACTTAGACGAAAATAGCACGCGTGGCTCACGTGACGTCTATATGGCCGTTAAATGTGACGTGGAATATTATATTGAATATTAAATGTTGACGTGGCACAAGAATATACTAATTTCCTCTAACTCACTCTCCCGAATCCCAAATCCCAAATCACGTTTCATTCCCATTCTCAAATTTTCAATCCAATCTGCATTCTCACATTTGAAGAGTTTTTCTGTTCTCAAAGAACAACAGATTCACGTGCAAACACATGCCTGCAATCGAGAGGAAGAAGGTAAACGCGACTCCTCTTCTGGTTCTGAAAAAAATTTTAGAGGAAGCTTTAATTCTTCTCCCAACTCCGTCTTAGAACGTTGGGGTCGTATGATTCTTCGCCTGCTGATGCTTGTACCCCTTGTGGTCTCGATGAAGCGAGCACAAGGATGGTGAAGATGGCACAAATTCTACCTAACTCAACAGTTTCAGAACCTGCCCAGAAGGTGTTCGACAAAATGTCTGAACCAATTCCGGAAAAAAAAAAAAAAACATGCAGCACCTGTCAAAGATGCATATAATTCTTTTTTCGCCAAGAATAGAGTGCCCAAGAACGGATTCCAGCTCCCCGACTTCCCCAACGAAGTGGAAGAAGACAAGATATTTCAACTCGAAGATGAAAGTGAATCGAGGAAACATTCCGCATTTGTTTATTGGGCTATTTTGCTGGTAAAACACCATGAAAAATGGCCATGGATTCATAGATGATTCTGCTATTTTCTAATTTCACCTCAATTGAAGGATTCGAAATGGGGTTTTAGGGATTGGATTTACGGGTTCATTGGGGATATGGAGAATTAGGGATTTTAGAATAGAAATAGGGGAGGAGAATGACGTGTCGCTCCACATCATGTTTCGTCGACCAAGTAGGCACTGGGTGTTGTACAGCTCGACATTTAACGGCCACATAGATGTCACGTGAGCCACGCGTGCTATTTCCGTCGAAGTTAGCTGCCGACGTTAACGGCAGAACATAAAGTGATCAAAAGTGGCAAGTTTGAGGACATATTTCGTGGATTGAAATGTTTGAGGACATAAATCGTTTTAGTGGTAAAGTTTAGGGACATAAACTGTTATTTTCCATATATATATATATATATATACATATATATATATACATATATATATATATATATATATATATATATATATATATATATATATATATATATATATATATATATATATATCTGTGTGTGTGTGTGTGTGTGTGTGTTTGTGTGTTTTTGTATGACCGTATGTATATGTGTGTGGTGTATGCATGTTGTCTTTTTTTTCTTAAAGAAATTAGTGTTAAATTTTCATGCCTTTCCACTTGGCAAATGCTAATCATTTTCACTAATCCCACACTCAAGAGATCCCAAAAAAAATCTTCTTTCTCCTTCTTCTTCTACATAATCCTCTTACTTGTCTTCATCTCCCATTTCCAACCAAACCACCACCTCCATTTCCACCATCGGCTTTCTTCTTCTTCCACCTCAACTCCATTTTTCAAAGAAATCCAAAAATAAAAAATGAAAGTTCCTAGCCCTAGAGTGTTGGAACCACGACTGCAGTTTGACGATTGATCATAAAACTTGTGGATTGAGGCTTGTACTCCATTTGCTTCATCTTTACATAGTTGACGATTAGTTGGAAAAAAAAATTATAATAATATGAAGATAGGCAAGGTGAGACGCGGACTAGGTCGTTCTCTTAAGACGAATTTCACGATCCCTTCTCTAATGAGGTGCAAAAACGTTCCGATCGTGTCGCCTATATATGGGATACAACAACCCAGCCTATCTCTCAGTAACTTCACCGAAATTGCACGTTCAAGTAAAGTAGAAACTTACACCCAACACACAAGAAGTGCTCAACATATAATATGTAGGATCTTTAGAAATTTATTTTTTATTCTCTTCTCTCATCTACTTGCAAAGCCACAATATCCCCTTTATAAAATGTATAATGGGTTTATACTATGCTACACCGGGTGAAATACAGTGGGGAAATCTTTACTATTCATATACACACAAACACCCACACCCACATTGGTGTGTGTAGATCAACAGTAAAAATCACTCGGTGTAACCTTCACCGGGTGTAGCATAGAAATAACCTGTATAATATGACCCCATAAAACCTCAATTTAATATAGAAATTATGGTGTTTTATGCAGGAGAATAATGGATTTGAATGTTTCAAAATAGTGGTTTAATGACCA